CGAACTATATATTTCAAATTACATTGCAGACTACAGATTATATCTATAAATATATTTATGTAAAATTCTTACATATATTATTATATAGGAATTGCTTGTCCCTCTCAATAATTTATAAATTTAAAATATATAAAATACAATAGATAATAACTGAAATATTTTCTAGCTAATCTAACAATTAATTTGACAATTAAAAAATGTAAGCACGTTTAAAAAATATCTATAAGAAAATTCCTTTCGTCAGACATATAAAAAAATAGTAAAAACACTTTCAACGATTAGATATTTCTCAAACATTTGTAGAAAATAATCACATAACAACCACATATCTGAATCAAGAGATAAAAAACAATGAATTATGTTTATGAATGTCTTAAAAAAAAAAAAGAAGTTATAAAATTAATTATGAATGAGCATTTAGTTATAAATGCCACGCGCCAGATGGCCGAGTAGCGTGGTCTCGGATTCAAAATGGCGACGGCACTACATCCTTTACAAGTATGCATAACCGTTGAAGAATTGGTGTTACGCTTTCACCAAGCATATCCTTACCTGGCATAACAACGAGCTACGCGTTATTAAAAGCCTGTGCTCGATGCAAGCTCGTAAAGACCGACTTTATAACCTCATATACAGCCATAACACTAAGGCAACGATTCCCTACACTCGTTTTCTTCCACCCTACTTTCCAGGATATCAATGTCCACGCCACTTTTCCATTACCACGATACGGGGATGCTCTCCCTCCGTGGTAATTTTCATCAGCACGGATCCGTGGAAACGGTTGTAAATCAATTAACAAGTTTATGGCTCTTTATGGAAACGACTGTCGTAAACCTTGGGTCGGCCGGGTCCCACACAAGGACCGCGGAAGAACAACAAAGATCTCAAGAAATTTCATTATTAACTATTATCAGATGAACCAAAATGACTGTGACTAATTTTTCATTGATACAATTTCTACGTTCAACCTATTTTTTTTTGTCTATATATTTAGAGCAATACATTCTATAATTATATCAACAAAATATAATTTATGATACCGAAAATCTTAAACGGAAGAAGAGATAGTACAAGATTTTTTTATATAACTTGTGAAATATAAACTGACTAAATAAATATTAAATGTTGCATTAACGCAATGTTCTATATTAATAACTAAATACGAGTATCCTAATTTCATTTTTTAGAATATATAGAATATACATACGTGTTCGGAATCGTTACACATCAAAATTTATCACATCCCTTTTTAACCACCCTTCACTAAATAATACAACGTTGAAAGAAAATAATTCAGTTGCAAGGCAATGGTTGTTATTTCTTTACTCGTAAAAAATGTGAACTTCACGTCGATGCATCATGCCAATAAAATATCGTTAGGGCGTACACGTGCTCAGACCTTGACAGATCAAACAAACTTGTGTACAACTTTAAATGCGGTTCGCCAGTGCGTGTAGACGTCAACCTTCTTCGAATCGTTTATACTTCGTCCATGAACAAACTATTTCATCCGAAAGCGAGAAAAATAACGATAACTTTTAAAATCGAGCCAGATCGTAAAAGCAAGAGCGAGCTCCCAGGTTTCGACTTTGGTTATAAGTTCGTATTATATTAGCCGGATTCGAACGACTCGCCGTCCAATGGAGGCGATCGTAAACCCAGGGTTAACATTCGGTCGGGTTGTCAAGTGAAAGAGTGGCTTGAATTTCGTTGGGATCACTGTGAACGACGTTATAAGTATATACGTTCGCTTATACCCAAGCATTTCAAGGCTTTTGTTCAAATTAGACCCACAGCTCGAAACTGAATCCTTGGAATAAGCGATCGGTTCCGATCATAAGCGATCCGAAATTTCTATCGCTATTTTATAGATCGATGTTAACGATTTACTGGCTATCCAATTAGGATATGCATGCAAAAAATTCATTTCTCTTTACAGTACCGTATCGTGAATCGAGAATTGCGATTACCTGCTAAGATTTAGACGATGATCTATTAATAACATAGTAATTAATTTTGAAAAAATTCTTATTTTATAAACCTTGAATTGTTGAATCATTATAGATCATTAATCATTCCCTAGTTCCCAATTAATTTTCAAGAAAAAGTAATTAATTAAATGGAAAATACATACGAGCTTTCGCGCTAGATAAAATTAAATTGAAATCTTTTTTTAGAAAGACTTATTATATAAATGCTAAGAAAAGGGATCGAATCGAAAACTTAAATCTTCAATTAATAATTGAAGAAGATTCTTTTATTTTACTTACTATTTTACATTCTAATATGACAAGTCCCACCTCTTCATAAACTAGATTTTTTTGTAATGCAATATTGTAACAAATTTAAAATAAATATAAATCTAATTTTCAAAATAGAATACGAAACCTAGTAAAGCAAAATCCTCAATGGTCCAATAAATTATATTATCAATAGCAGAAAAATAGTGACAATCTATCAATCTTTGTAAAAGTTACCTTAAAACTTATTGTTTTAAGAGTCTCGAAGGGATTAAGCCCTGTCATTGAAGACTCGAGATTCTAAAGAGCGTTCTTTCTTCAGCTGGTCCGTTTTATGTCTTTCGTCGATTATATGATGTCGGTCAAAGTCGTAAGACGCGAAAGCTATAGGTAGGTAATCAGTAACAAACGTTCGATTCGTGGAACTGGAGTACAGTGCTCGAATTGTACTCGGGAATAATAATGATCTTTCATTAATTGAACTTCTTCAAATAACATTTTATACGGTAATTGCAATCGATATAATGGTTCGTATATCCAGACACGGCTAAATAACAGTCTTCTGACGAAGACCACTGAATACCAGTCTTTGTTGTTTAAGTCTCGCGACAAGGGAGGTCTTCTTATCTGGCCATTATAATTTCTTTTACAATTATTTCGCTTTATTGCTCGTTTGCGATTGTTTAGGTTTCACACGCTCTGATTTCATGAACGAAAAAAAAAAAATTTACTTGAAAATAATTTCGAACTATCTTATATCTCAGATAATTGGGCGTCTATATTTTTCTGTGAAACATGATGTTTTACAAAAGGGTTTATGCAGCAAAAACATGCGATACATGTGAAAGTATCGTTATAGATTTATATCGTGTAATATTAGAACTAATTTTTCCTTAACCAATATGTAATTTGAACAATTACCTTCTAATAACATTGTTCACAAAAGAATATGAATTTATTTTCAGATAAGTATCGAACGATAATTTTTCGCTTCCTATAAATTAATCTTTTTTTTTCTGTGTGTGTATGTGATTTATCGATTCTTATTAAGGAAATTTTTATAAAAATAATTTCGTTCCTTTTATTAAATTCTATTTATATTATAAATACTTCTTGAAAAATTTTAATTTTCCCGACAAAAATTTTTCCAACTCTCTCTCTCTCTCTCTAGCCTAATAAATATCAAAAAAAAACTTTATATTATAGCACATAAGGCTGTAATTCCCCTTGCGGTATGAATCATACCTACAAGCCCAACTCCCTTTGCATGTATAAGTATTAATTATGGCCTGATAAAAAATTAGCATGTGTAATGAAATCATAATCGATAATACGAATCGTAAAAAATACATTTGGAATTCGTTTAATAAATTATGATGATCATCATTTTAAAAATGCACTCACATATGTAAAAATATTATTGTAGAATAATATAAGATAATTAAATAATACTCAACTTTTTCTAGAAATAGTAATGATAACTATTTTCATGCACACTAATGAATACTAATGACTCAATATAAGTACATAGATGTACTTAGACATTGAATGAATTTTATTAACGAATATTGAATATTTACGTCACATATTATTTTGTTTAAAATCAGTTTCCATCAAATTTGACGCGAGTTGGCAACTTTACAAAATGCATCGAGCAATCGCCACGGATTTTTTTTTTGAATCTTTGTTAATTTCCTATGATATTGTTCAAACAATTATCTGAATGTTTTGAATGCATGATTGTGTAAGACGTGTGAACGAATGATATGTACGCAAAATGATTTTCTCACTATATATTTTCGCGATTTTGATCTGAACAAATTATATATAATTTAATTTAATTTCTATATTTTTCTTTCCTCAATAGACATACAACGTAATTATTTTTTATATTGTATATTTGTATACGAGTTTTAAGTGAGTTTTAAAAATATATTTATTCATAGATTATAATTCCTATCGTACGATATTATTATTATATATATATATATTTATAAATTTAATATAAATACATATTCCGAAATCAATGAATGGCTTCATATCCTATATAATTACTGATGAATCGGGGTGATTAAAAAAAAGGATAATTAAAAGTTGGAGCAACAGGTAGATAATCACGGTCAACATGTATATAAATACCTTACATATACCTACGTATATTCATCAGACAAATATAAATCAGGAATAACTGATAAACGTGCATATTAAATATTCTATAACTTTGTGTAATAGATATTATGATAATGGATATCTTTTAATTATAGTGAAAAATATTAAGCAACAGTTATATATTTGATATTTAAAAAATCAATTTTGAAAACTTTGTTAATCAAAAAACTAACTTATCGTTTATATCTTTTCTTTTTATAAATTTTCTGATTATGATTTCTCTATTATATATTTTATTAAAAATATATAATATAAAATTCAATTATTAATTAAAAATTAAATTTATAAGAAAATATTTTTATAATCAATGTAACAACAATATAATATTTTTATTTAATAATAATCTACCAGCATAATCATAATATCTTTTTAATGCAAAAGTTAAATTCAATTTCATTATAATTCAAATATTTATTACACCAAAAAAAAAAAAAGTCCTTCATGCATTTCTACTCAAAAATATCATGCGAACCTTCAAATATTTCTTTCTACTGAATTTCATATATAGAGAATTCATCCAAAATCTGAATAAATACGTGGAAAAAGAAAAAAAAAATATAATTGAAAAGAAAATGTTTCATCACTCACTGGTTAACGTCTGTGGCAAATGGGTGACCATCGCAGTGTGAGGATGCAGCGGCGGCAATTTTCTCGTAGGGGGTATAGTGATGATACTACCACCGAATCCGGTGTGTATACCATTGCTACTGTGGCTGCTCACTGGTGAATCGCCGCTGCTACTATCGTAACTACCCTCGAGACTTCTAGGTGGTTGAGGGACCGAAGAAATTGTATTTTCTACGCCAAATGGGAGCGGATCCACCTGTTAAGAAAGAATCAATTACGATCAGAGTTCGATGAGATTGAGCGCGGCGTATATTTGAAATTATCGCAGGTGCTGAGGCGGAAACTAAACAAATGGCGTCGATTTACGTTACAAGCAGCCTAATCTGATATTAGGAACATGAATAAAATAATCATAGATTCGTGTGATTCTACTCAAGCAATTATGGTATCAATGATTGAAAATTGACGATGAAAGCAAACGATACACTTATCTAATGGTTTATTTCCGAAAGACAATTTATGCGATTCAACGAGTTGTTTTTCAGATAATATGTAAAATATTTGGCCATATTTTTGATAAACTTTAGAAAAGAATTTATTGAATGAACTTTATGCTGTATTTTTCAAATATACACTTTTATTTTAAATATATGGCCAAATCTTATCACTTAGATAGAAATCATATATATCTCACTTAACAGAAATATTCAAAAATTATATCTAATTTAGAATAGTTTTTAGAAAATATCTATGGATTACAGAATAAGAATTTTAAAGATGATCTATAGAAAAGTTATATGCAATTCACGAATCATTTTATAATACGGTAATATGAATATATATAATACAGAAAATAAGTGTTATACTGAAATAATTAAAATATCAGTATGTTATTGCAGGGTTAATATTTTCTATGAGCTTGATGTTGAGATCTCTTATTACTTCATCGAATGTTTATTAGTTTATATGGAGCAAATAGAGGAATGACTTTTTAGAATATGTAAAAAACACTTTTAAAAAATTATTAAATTATAGAATGAAATTGAAAAAAATTTTGAAAAACGATATTATCAAATTCTTTAAAAATTTCTATTCATGCAACTATTTTTAATTAGTTTTTTACTACGTATGTAAAACAATTTATTGAAATTTGGAATGAATCAGCTAGAAATCTTACGAAATAACATCTGAATTACATAAATAACAAATACTATAATAAATTAATAATTTAATTACAAATAGATGATCATCAATAGTTTTGCCATGCATAACATTTACAATCTAAATATAAATTTTTTACGCTAATTAATACTTTTCTAATACTTTTCTAATTTCACTCCACTTTTTGCCAGTGTAAATATCCTATGAACTTACTATTTACATCAGCTTACAGCGATCGATTATTGATTAAGAAAAAAAAAAAAAAAAAATTTCAAAAAACGACATAAAACTATATCAGCGGCAACGTGTTAGGAAATCGTTAAAATACAAAATACCTCGCTGACTCAAGCCACGACAAGAGAGCCTTTCGCCAAGAAACCATTATGAAACAAGGAAAAGACTAACCTCTTCCGCTACTCTTACTTTGACTTTATCCTGTGCCAGGTGTCTTTTCAGCTTCATATTCTGCCGCATCACTTGCTGCCGATTGGCAGTGATCTTACACTTCTCGCAGGTACAAGTACGGTACTTGCAGTACCTCTTGTGCGATTTTAAGGTGATCTCCAGCCGATGATTCAGACATCGTGCACAATTCCGTGCACGCGGCTTAGGAGTATTCGTTGAAGAGGAAGCGTCTGTTTGCACCTTCTTGGGGCCATCGTCCCCATTTTTGCTATCCTGAGAATGTTCCAAACGCTCGAACGTGTTTGCACCACTCGGTTGTTGGGGAGCCAAGTCCGCGGCTCTGTTTTGCTCGTTCTCTTCGCGATACATAGGTAACCTCGATTCACAGCCTTTTCATAATTACAAAGAACAATCTCAATGAAATGTTTGAGCGGTCGTTTGTCTCTCTATCGTTGTCCTTTCTCTCTCTCTCTCTCTTTCTAATCCTTTTATCGCGCGCTTGTAGAAACGCGTAGGAACACGTGTCTCGAACCGTCGAGGCGTAGATTCGATTTTCGACACCAGTTTCCTCCAATTCTCGTTCTGCAACATAAAAGGAAAAAGGAATTTTAGTAGAAGAACTTTGGGATTTGATAATTTATGCAAGAAACAATAAGTGATCAAATTAATGTAATTGGTATTATTATACAGGAATTATTACGAATCGTTATACGATTTTGGTTATGCAAATAGATATCGTTGAAACGTAATTAATTTTTTCTTATTATTAGACAAGAGTACGAATCTTTCAGATAAGATTTTCTGCATTGTATAAAATATGACGAATAAGATATAGCAACAGGTATGAAATTTATTCGTGACAATATATTATTTCGAATATTGAATTGAAAAGAAAATTATATTACACTTGACAGAGAGCAAAAGATCACAATTTACACAATTTTTGACAATTGGAATAATTGAATAAAGATAACAAATATCGTTTTATTGATAACGATTTCTTTCAACGATTTTCCAATATGTTCGATCCAATTGAAAATTTTTTTAATTGAATGACCTTATTTCTTACACTCTTTATAATATTTCACGATACAATTGTGACGATATAAAAATTCCAATAGATTGTATAAACGTTCAATTTAAGTGTTGGAACACTAGATATAAGTAATGATATTCTTTTCATATTTGAGCCATTGGTAATGTTATTAATGTTTAATAATATTATACCACTCGAGAAAAATGTTGTGAAAACATTTATTAAAGAACATTTGGTTAGATGTTGAAGAGAACATCACCCTTCGAACACTTATTCGTTAAACACTTTTAATATATTTTTACGTTATTGGCAATATGTTCTTATGAGAAAGGTATAAGTTTTAATGATTCGATGCACCGTGATTATCTTTATGTGTGATTATAAATCGAACAAAATTGGCAATCTGATGACTTGCTTGATTGCTATTGTAGTTAAGTGTCGTTAACAATTTAAAAATGTAATTTACATTGAAAGTGAATTGTTAAACCTTGACCAATACGAATTTTATGTAATAATAATAATCGTAAATTTTTCAACTTAATAAATATAATAATAATAATAAATATATTAAATTTCGATGAGGTTAAAACGTTATTTAATATTATATGAGTTATAATATTGAATTATACTTGAGGAATATATCTATAATACTGCATAAAATTATTAAACATACTAAATTTTAAGATATAAATCTATTTAAGAGGGTTACCATCAAAGTCTTTTTTCCCTAATGAATTTTGATAACAATTTTTATTGTAATGTTTATTAGCAGAAAATAACTAACGAGACTTTGAACAATTTGACTTTCAAATGTTATACGCTTAAATTTTAAAACAAGAAAGGGCCAATTTTAAAATATGGATGCGGCCCAAATTACGAATTTTCAATGGTTGAATACTAAAAATCTTGCGATTAGAATCTAGGAAGTGGTCAATACACACGGATCACAGTAATTCACGAGTGAATTGCAGTAGAAAATGAAATTAGTATTAATGCTATATCAAACAAAGTACTTAGATACTAATTGCAAGCGAAAAGCAGATATCCTTAGGTTTAACAGAATATCTTCAGATGAAATCTGAAACCTACTGGATATTAAGTGGAGACCTCAAGGCCCTTTCACCCCTGATGCGAGAATAGATAACCGAGCATCCTTAGATCGTAGCCTCGATTTTGCAGTATGTAAATATCTTTTAGCGCACATCGATGATCCAACGTGTGATAATTCTTGCATAATAAAATAAATTATCGCTATCGATAAAATAGATCAATTAAATGACAGTTCGGAATAATAATTCGAAAGAATATGTGTTATACATATCTTCTATATATAGAGTGAGTCACAAAATTTGTTTACTCCAAATAACTTGAAACAAGAGCAAAATTTTTATTAATAGAAATTGTCAAAGGGAATACATGGTAATATTAAAATGACTTTGATCTTTCAATTCCCCCCCCCCCAAAAAAATGAATTTTCTACAGAAAAAACATTGAGTTTCATTTATTCTAAATCTGATAATTTAGAATTTAAAATAATTGGAAAAATAATGCAATTTTAAATTTATTTAAAATATATTATTGATACATATGTGTCATTCTATAAATTATTTGAATAAATAAGGGACAAACTGTGTGATGATATAAATAGAAAGTAATCGTAAAGATTACTTTTATCGAGAAAGTATTTCAATTTCTAAATGCTGACGACGAAAATGTCATAACAAAATAATTTACAACGACAGTGCAATATTTCTCTGAACAAACTATAGTAATACCTCCATAAGTAGCAGTAGATATTTATTTTGAGACAATGCCATTTATAAAGGAAATATGAGAATGTTAATCATACAAGCAATAGAATTTCTCGGCTTCAGTAACTCAAGCGTTCACTTTCATGTTTTGCTGACATATTTGGTCCGACGGTGACAAGAAAAGAAAGTGTATTGCAAATGAGAACGAGTGGCAATGAAGGCAAAGAGAATAAGATGAAATAAGAGTGAGCGAGATACGTGTGAATTTACGATATTATTATTATTAATTTAAAATCATTTTAAATACGCCGAGTTTGGTCTCATTTTCGTCAGTAAAATTGCATGAATATTATGAATATATTTTTATGAAGCAAAAATTAAAATTATACAATATTAAGTTTTTCTCTAAATTATAATTAAATGCAAAAAGAAGAATCTTGAATATACTTAAAATTACATTGATTGATTGATTCCAAAGCGATTGTTAAGAAAGGATAAGACTGACTGTTAGTTACACATAGATTAGTTATAGGATAGACATAGCATTATAAATTAAACTATATATTAGGAAACGACGTCGATTGATGATCAAATATGACATGATATACTTGAGAAATGAACATTGCATTTTTTGTCAAGTATCTGATCATAGATTTGTCGAAACATTACTTCTGACACTTGATCGTTATTTTACATTTGACTGATTTTACGACCTTGCTACATCGTGATCCACCCTTTTAAGAACTGCTAGTTAAAGAGATACTAGTGTATAGTATTACTTGAATTTTTTTTTTAATTTTTTTTAAAAATACAAAATAATGTAATTACAAAGGATGAATATAATAATTGAATTGGCTGTTGAAGTTAACTTTTTTTGGGAATTAAAAATTTCTTCCTATGCAGAAAAATGATCAAAAAGATATTTACTTATGATAATTAAATTCAATGAAAAGTTTTTTATTTAAATTTTATTTAATACAATACGATTACGATACGAATACAATAAATTTTCTTATCAATCCCTATTATCAATCTGTAAATCCAGATAACATTTTATTAAGAATTTATCACGCAATTTTATTTTTTTTTTTAAATAATGTTACCTACGATTTCATTTTCATCGTATGATCATTTTTTACTTATTTACAATAGTTTGATACTATGATTACTCGAGATAATTATTTAATCAAATATTTATTTTGCACTTTATCTATTAATTTTTCTAAACCATTATCTTATATTTAATAACTTTAGAATTTATTGCTTTATATATCTATTTCAGATTATTTCATATGTTTAAATCTAATTTTTTTAACCATTCATTTTATCAATAAAAAAAAAAATAATTTTTTGAATCATCTAAGTATCTTCAATAATTTTTGTACGAAGCAAATTATTCTAGTAATTCGTATATTAATAGTAAGAAGAAAAATATTTATTTGCATGCATTGATGTCGCCACTATAACATTTAATACAAAAATCCATATCAATAGCAGGATTTTTAAAATAGTTATCTTATCGTGAGTTGAACAAAGTATCAAAATGCATGCTAGCTACGGTTTCTGCGATATACGAATCGATAACTGCTTATAAAACACGTATATAAAAGTTAAATTCTACTTGCATATTTAAAAGTGCAAATTTTCCATGTCAATTGCGCAATTGATTCAGAAAGCGTATTATAAGTTTTTCAGAATTTTCCAGCACTTTTTATTTTATTTTGAATCAACTGTAATGATATTACATTGATTATTTTACACTATCATAAATAGATAGTTACAATAAGTTTTATATTTTTATATAACGCTGCAATATTAATTATTTATTTATCATTTTTACTATTTGCATTGTATGGAGATATTAAGAAATAAATAAGTTGGAGAACGTTCCATTTTTACTCCAATTTTACCAAAATTTAATTTCTAAAATTTCTGTTCAACGCTCGATTTCATTTTAACTATTCGTGAGTACGTTTCTTCATGCACTCATAAACGTACATTGGAAAATAACTTCTTACTTATAGCACGAGATGTGTACTACAATAATTGCAATAGAATAACAATGCAACAGGAAGTGGAAAAGAAGGATTGGTTGATAGGAAACGACACGATAGAAGTGTAAAGTAACAAGAAGTAATAAACATTTTAATCTTAAGAAATAAGTAATAAATTTTCTAGAACTTTATGGAAAAATATCACGCCTGTTTCGAACAAAAGTTTTCGCGTAACTACATATATCTATACTATAAAAAGATTATTTGTATTGAATTAATATATTGGAAAATTTCATTGTAAAGTTAGCGTCCTTTACGTTAAGAAAAGATTAAATTTTGCTATTTTTTTATGTAGCAAGAATCATCTTAGTATAGATTTTTTATAGATGGTTGTATACAGTACGAAAATATTAGAAAATTTTCAAAAAAAAAAAAAAATAAGTATGATAAACAACAAACATTAATCCGTGAGATTTGAATAAAAAATTAGGTGAAACTCAAGAAGTAGTTACAATGAAACAATCGATGATAAATTCATTCTTTTTTTTATTCGACATGATCAATTGTAATTTATACGAAACTAAATAAAATATACGCGATATAGTTAATGATAACAAGATATATATGGGTAACCGAATAAACTTTAAAAATTTTCTTTTTTCCGATTTCTAAATAAACTGATATGAAACGAATACATCCATGTAATACCAAGAGTCTGCTGCATTACATTATGATGGCCCGATAAAAAAGGAATCTTAAAGTGTGAAGTGTCATTGAACTAACATTTTATATCTTTTTTTTCTTCTTATGCTTCTTTCTCCTTATATTTCTTTTTTCATTCTCATACAAATGATACATAATTCGTATATTAGCATCAAAGATGCCGCGATGATCCATCTCATCGAAAGAAAAAAACGAGTAACTTATCTCACGTTTCAACAACGGCCATGAAAAGAAATAATATCTTTTTCAACGGCATCGAAGGTGCTTGCCTTATTTTTTTTTTTTTTTTTTTTACAAATGTATACATATACATGTAGTTAACCCCAATAATGCAGATTATATATAGATGAACTTTTATGCAAAAATAAGTAAATAGTAATCCTTTCTTTTTTTTTTTCTTACAAAAATTTTAAAAATCCAGCGATTCTTATAAGAAAAAATTATTTAAAATTACTCAAAATTGGTGAAATATACTTTTTTCTATATTGATTATCATCACTTTAATTCTCTAATTAATTTTTTATTGTAATAACATATAGTATAGATATAGATACATTATGATATAATGTCTATAAAAAATTAAACTTTTGGTCAATAGATTATTATAAAATATTATAGACAATCAAGATAGATTTGGAAGATGAACAAATTTACGCGGATTCTCGATTGCACAAGAAATTAACGTTCCTATAATCCTTCACTATGAAGCTTCCCTATGTTGTTTGAGGATTAAATATTATCTTTTTTCCGAATGTTATCGTTAGACGAGATAAAGTTCAGAGTTGAATAGTTAATAAAAATTCCATCATTAATGCTTAGTATGATTTAAACACTTAATTTATCCATTGCTTCATGAAAAATAATAATAGTAGAATAAGCAGATAAACATCTTTATGCATCTTTTTTGCCAGATAATACTGTACACATAGATTTCAAAAGAAAGAAAGAAAGAAAGAAAATGAAAAAATATAGTGATTTTAATATATGTTATATATAATCACGATTCTGCCCTATGAAAACCGGATATCGCATCTAATACCACTTAGCATATATAGCGCAACAGAATTTATTAATTTAAAGGATTAGAAAGTGTGTTTTAAGATTTGACGATCATTTGAAACTTGATTTATTGCTGCTACGTGTCCGGTTACAAGGTCTAGAATTTTCAGAAGGATGGCTATATGAGAGAAAATGATTGATAGAGTCGTAATCTTATACCTTAGCACTCTTTTCAATGCCGAACATAAAGTACTTGTAATATCCATTATTATTATTTTGTTATGTTCTCGATAAGTATGCAACATGTATCACATCCTGTTTAAAACCGGATACTATTCGATTTTATGCCATCCGGTTATGTATGTTTCTGTATAGAATTTTATTAAATAATATATCTAAGGTGAATGGAATAATTCGTAAATGGAATAATGAAATTATAACAAAGAAATATAATAAATACAATAAACGGTAATGAACACTTTCTTATTTTAATTTTTTATTTTTCTATAAAGTTTTAATTACGTAAAGTCTGTATGAGATCTATACGCATGTTACGCATCCTCGTCTTATTATATCGCTATTGAGTATCAATATGGATGTTGTCACGATGCGTCGTGATGCATCGTTGTCTATTACAATTAAGATTGAAAGACACGTAACGGAATCGATCCGTCGTTTGTCAGTTTTTCCTCGTCATATTAAGGAAATAATAAGGTACAGTAATAATACTTTCCATCCAATTGCAAGCCAGTTTAGTAGGAAAATATCGTTATTGCATTTTTACTCACTTACATTTTTATCATGGAAAGAATTTCTTGATTGCATTGTCAGGATTTTTCTAATGGATACGAATATGTTAATATGGGATAAAATTATAAATAATGTATCGTATTACACGATATATTATTGAATAATTCTTAACTAATTACGATATGAAAGGATTATACATAATAAATATAGATCCATCTTAAAGAATTCTCAATAAATATTTAATAATTTTTTAAAGATTTAATTATTTTAAAGATAATTGAAAATTTTAATAAAAAAAAGAAAAAATTGTTATACGCGGAATACTATCAAAATATCATCCAATTTTCATCGAACGATAAATTCTTAGCTACGACTGCAAGCACGTGTTGTTATCGCATATCTCCCTTTTTCTCTTTCTTTTCTTTCGGATATGTCATACTCTATCAAACATCACTAACACAATCTCATCTAATTACAAGCAAAATGACGATGCGCTCCTCTTATCGACTATATTCGCCTCTCTCTTATTTTTTCTGCAACATCAAACTGCAGTCAATTTCAACCGAGATTCAAGCCGAACATCCCTCCTTTTTCTCCTTTTATACCGATCAGCAACTCGATCCATCTTCCTTTCTTTTTTTTTTTCCTTTTTTCTCAACGGATATTCGCTATCGAAAAATCTTATCCTCACCAACAAAAAAATAAACGTTGCTCCATGTTAGATACTCGTTATTATTGATTCGTGACAATCTGAATCATGATTTGAACATTTTTTTAACTACGCTTTAATGAATTATGCATTTAATAATGAATGAGACGATATGAATAAAAACACGAAAAAACTTTTAAACTCTTTATAAGCAGCATATTTTATTCTAACTAATTCAGACTTATGAAAATATTTTCAAATAGATATGATTTGAAGTTATTTTCATGTTTTTATAATCAATAATATTGCTACGTTGATATATTAAATAAATTTATAAAATCAGAGGATACAGAGAAGATAATAAATTTTTTATTTGAGTAAAAGATAAGATGAACGTTGTTTCTTTATATTTAATTTCAATTCATATTGATAAAACATTTTATAGTCAAATTGAACTTTGAAATTGTAAATATTGTACTAGCATCTCAAAAATGTTGATGTCGATAATTGTCTTTTTATATTTCATATTTACAGTATAAATTTCCATAAATTAAAATAAAATTGTACAAAATTCATCTAATATTAGACAATATTATTAAACGTTATTAAACAATATTATGTATGATTCATTTAGATAAATTCTTTTCTACATCGTGTAAAAAAACTTATGTAGACGACTGTAGAATTAGAAAAAAGATCTAAATAAAACTAAATCGAGTTCAATAAAAAATTTTCCAATACTGGACATTTTTACAAAATATCGAACCTATCTATCATTAAGCAGATCGATAATTAATATCGTTAATGTAAGCACACGTGTACTCTGAATACACGTCTGATAAAAATGATAAGTGCGTGCAAAAAATATCTACACTTAAATACTATTAACATGCATTTTTTTTTATGCATATATGTATAATCAATAATGATATATGACACATATCTACGTATCTACAATTTATGATAATATTCATTGCTAAGAATGATCTTGTAAAAAGTTCATAAATGAATTATTAATAACATATGTTTGATATTGCGTATTTAAAAATTATTTGATACAAATATATGAAACTGAAGAACAGAATTTTTCTTATCTTAAATATGAATATATTAACGACGAATGTAAAAATAAATCTTGATTTCAAATGTGATTACGTAAAAAATAATATAGAAAATTTTAAACTATAGTTTTATAGTATTTATATATTTTATATTACACTATATACAAATTAATTGTCAAGAACTATAATATATTGTTATAACCTCTATATTTATTCTAAATAAATATATATATATATATATATATCTCCTATATGATATTATATAAATATATTTGATATTGATAAATATTGAGATATAGTTATATTAAATATAATTATATCTATTAATTTATCTTCTTTAAAAAGCAAATAGCATTTAATTTATACTTAATTGGAATAAATTATTAAAATAAACCATTTAAAATTGAAGATTTATTTATTTAATATATTCTATTAGATTTATATAAATTTTTAATAAGATTTTGGAGTAATACGATTCCTATTTTCCTATAAAAATATAAAAAAATTTTTATATTTGATATTAAGTTTTGTATACTTTTTATAGAAATATCATTTTCAGCAATTTGGAATTATATTATAAAACTAATATGATAAAATATATATTTTTTATTTTTATTAGAAATGAATTTAATATCGATCATTATAATTTATTTATCGATTTTGCAATTAATCTAGCAGATCATAAAATATTAATGTTAAATTTACTAAAATATTTTATTATACGTGTTTAAAAGAGCACATTATTACGCTTTACTTTAAAGGTATATTGCTTTTGTTTATAATCAATGCCTTGGATGAATTGAGTGACGAATTTGTGACTATAAATAAATGATTTTGGCAAGATGGATTTAACATGTGTATCATTAGACAGCCTTTTCATATTTTTTTCAATAAATATAAATACTTCGACTCTTTCAAACTCGAGACAGTTTATTATTTTATTGATGTATTCTATTCCTTCATGAGAAATGTAGACATGATCTTGCTTTCAACGAAATTTCAAACGCAAAACGACAAATTTATATTTATAATAATCATAATTATAAAATGTTATTTTATAAAGTTTGAAAAATCGAACAAAAATTGTTTAATATGTAAAAATAAATAATATTAACCTTACGTAAAAATATATAAAAACAAAAATAGATAATATTGTCTATAATCTAGGAAATATATAATTAAAGCAGTAAATAAATTATAAAATTTAATATTAATAACTCAAAAGAATAAGAAATAGATTTGAATAAAGCTATAATAATACGTGCGTAATTAATTTTGCAAAACTTTAGTATAAAAAAAAGCGAATAATACGACATATTTTCTATAATAATCAGTGCAAATTTACGTATAAAACATTGAGTCATTTACTAGAATATAATATTATAGAAACCAATAATTTAAACCTATATCTAACTATCCTGTATCTAGCTAACCTATATCTAGCTAACCTGTATCTAGCTAACCTATATCTTATATCTATAAATAAACGAAATTGATAATTAAAATTTATTTAAGATATAGTTAATACTTTATGAAGAAAGAACTTGAAAAAATGAAAAAAAAATAAATAAAATGCTGTAAACTTACCTAATATTCCAGATAAAATCCAGATAAAAATTTTTCTTCTATCAAATTGTTCGTTGTATGTTCAAATTCTCATATATAGATAGCCGGCATTTGAAGCACAAATCCACAATAGTCGTAAAAAAAAACACTGTATTTCACATTTATCTCAATTTACAATTTTCTGTGTCCACTATACTTCACAGTTTTATTGCAAGGTTACCGTGTTACTCGCTTTTTATAAACGAACGCATACGATTTCGTGCCATGCGTCCAGTACCAATCTAATATTGCATTTGCGCGCGAGAACAATCACGCGCGTGCGTAGAAAAGCCGACATGTTTATATATTCCATCATGTATTTTTCGTTTATATAAATGTCACATGTATGCACATCACGATTAACATTTCAAAATAATGAGACGTTGCACACTCGTTAAGTTGTTAATAAATATTTTTTCCTTGTTTCTGTCACCTTCTTTTATTTTTCACACGTCACGAACTATTTCGTTGGTCCATTGCTGTTCCCACAGTTTTTTGACCGGTCGATCAAACAATTCCTAAACACGATATCTAGTATCACATGTACTAGAGAACACTACGCATGTGGAATGTGAAAATTAAATCGTAGAATCCACGAGAATCAACGAGTAAACACGTCTAGATAGTTCCGCAAAAAGCATAACAACGCACATCGAACTTCCGTCCGCGTGCCGCGCACTTTTGCACACGCGCACTTCAATTGTCTCCTCTCGTCGTCTTTCTCGTGTCCGCGTGTCATTCCATCCTTCTCCTACTTCTGGTTCTCCCCCTCATGTAACGGGAAACAACAGTTCCCCCCATTGGAATATGTTACGGTGCACGTTGACTTTCGTTTTATCTTCGTCGTAAACAATTTTCTGAATTGTTGAATCACACGAGATTATATCAAACTTTTATCGAGAATATTCTTCAGGCTGCTCCACACGAATCTCCTTTCTTTTTCGATAAGTTTTTCTAACATGTATTAGTGTATATGCGAAATGTCACGAAATACCGCACAACAGTATGGAGAAATTTAATGAATCTCCAATTTGGATTGGAACGTAGTCGAAATGAGTTATGGAGTATGGTAATATGCAGAGAAGAATCTAGAAACGTGGAAAAATGCAAGTGATACGAATATAACACTACCGATAAATTCGATGTGCACTTGCATGCGGTCCGTAACTTACTAAGAGTGCTGGTAGCAGCGACACGCCGACGAGGTGCATGGTGGCTTGCGGGTACCGGCTAGGAGGGGGTACGTCCCTGGCACGGGGAGGAGACATGTTGGGCACTCGGCTGTCAGAAGAGTGAGGGGTCTTTCGTCGAAGAGTGGTGGTTAGATGGATGGAGGTGGCACACGGGTTTAGATGAACATCAAACTTTTACGACTGAAACTATCCGACTGACGCGTAGAGACTCTAAGTACCTACGGCACACATATACATACAGTGTTATCAGTGCAGTGAGAATCTTGTCCATACGAGAAGTACGTTACGCTTTTAAGTATGTATCATTTATTGTCAGCAAACGATCTCGATGATTAATTAAATATCACCAACATCAACTTCGGTATTCAGTTACAAATTTTATAGTTACTTAATTAAAATAAAATTTTGGAAAAATATTGTGATAAATATTGGATAAAAAAGAATAGATTTTCATGATGTGAAATTGAAGAATACATTCCCAATAATTCATCTATAAATCGAATGTAGTTATATAACAGTAATCTACGTAAAGTAATCTATATATCATTTTATTCTATTTTTTTATTACCTATAACTCTATGTTATCTATAGATAATATCTTCTATTTCAAGAAATATAAAATTATTTCGATATTAAAAATTTTTAAATTCTGACATGCTATATATATATATATATGTACGCATTTAAAATTTTATATAATTATATCATATCAGTAAAAATAAATATATATCTATAACTAAAATCAAGGACTAATATGTAATTAATATATAATTTACATATATTTCTCAATATTTATTATTGTTTATATATTGTATATATTGTATATAATAACATAGAAGTTAATTTTCTTGAATAATATGAATAGAAATTCATATATATAACTCATTAACTATATAATTACTACATACTCATTTATACTATATAAATATATAACAGAATTTATATTTGCATTTTATATTTATATTCGTATTTTGATTCGCGCACCTTCAATGCTGCTGAAGGATCCGGTCTTCAAGAGTTAAAATAAGAAAAAAAGATGAAACAAACGACCTGAGTGGCAAATACCATTCGAATACTCTCCACTCTCTTTTTCCAACTACTGTTATCTGCTTAAACTCGCTTTACTTTTCTTCTTGTTTCTCATTTAAAAACTCATCAAAAAGACGTCAAAAAAACCACTAAAAAATAATATATCCGATATATTATATCAGATGTAGGCCGATATCTAAAATTGATCTCAAAAGAAAGAAAAAGAAACTTCAAGAAATAAAAGAACCGTGCAACAGGTTAATACATCTGTTAAAGAAAATACTAATTTTAAAATAAGATAATGTTACTTTATAAATAATACGATGATTGTCCAGAAATTATTTTATCATATCTCGTATTTATAAAATTAACAGAATTATATTTAAAATGATAACGAATTATTTTTACATAGCATGCGTTATAACGTCATTATAGCGATCAGATGTTATTCAATGCTAGACATTATAATTCAATATGATGTATATTTAATAATAGTTAATGTTAAACTATATTTGCGTAAACCAAATATGAAATTATTAATTATTTATAGTCATATGAAAGCATGATTCGTTGGCATAATCGCTATAAAAATGTTTTATGCTTGCATAGCGCATTCCTTGCAACATGTATGGTTGGACAGGTTTACTAAAAAATGAAAGTCATAACGCTTGTTCGGATTGATATTTCAGTTGCGATGTAAAAATGAAAAGAAACAAGTAAGAATTAACCTCTTTTATCTACTGCTTATTATCTTCAACTACTACTCAAACGTGAAAAGCTGCATGAAATGACACGTTTTCAATTACCTGTCAATTCAATGTAATTTGAAAAAATTATAATCTGCAATCTATGTATACAGGTATGTATGAATTTATGTAGTATATATTTAATACAGAAATTTCATTTAAATTTGTAAATAATATATATTCTTCATTTTTTAACATAATTGTTAACAACTATATTATAATTTAATTATTATTAAATGGAATATTAATAGCATTAATTATTAACATTAATCATTATATTAAATTTGAATATATTTATTTAATTTATTGTGATTAAATTAACTTTAATTTTATTCTTATTGTTTGAAGAAAAGAAAGAAAGAAAAATAATCATCAAATTTTGGTTTCCATTTTCTATCCTTCTCTATCCTTCTTTCTTTTCAGAACAAATCTTCGTTCATAATTCTTTAATTATAATTAAATTAATTGTAATTAAAGAAAGTGATTTAATTAAATGTTACGATAAGAACTATTTGAATAATGAAAAAAAAATTATTCTACTTACAAAAAAATTTTATGAGGGCTATCCGTTCCCCTCTATAGAATTATTTCAAAAAAAACTTATTGAAAACGCTAAAAGATCTGCGTCATCGTGCAAATTCATCGAAATAAGAAAATATAAAGATACTTCTGGCTATGAACGTATATATTATAAGAAGAAATGTACCACCTGGCTTATAAAAAATTCTTCTTATGTACGTTTTTAATTACTTCTCGCCAGGTTTCGATTATCTGCTGCGTTTCGGTTTATTCAGCTTCTCCTCCTGATTAAACCGGTTAATCAAGGTCCTACTATATTTGGACATCAGCTACAATTTCATCAAGAGGCGTGTCTTCTTTATAATATGAATATCTATATAAAAAATGAGAAACAATTATTACTATTCATTATGAAAGAACTAAGATGTATTAGTGGTGTAAATAATGTATTTAATTAAACAGTATCATTATGAAATTATCATATCATTTTTGAAACTCTTCGTAAGAATTTCGAATTAGATCAAAACACAAATAAAATTTTTAAATATTATAAATTAAGTATATCTATCTATATCTTATAAGAAAATTATCAAAGAATTCTAGAAATAATAATAAATTCTAATTTTTCCCGGTTATTCTTTAAAATTGTTGAATTTTAAATCTAATTTTCATGAAAATTTGAAAATATCATGATCGATAAGCTCATATAATTCATATTAATCGCGATATCGATTGTAATTAAAAATCGTTGAAAGAAAATACTAAATAAAATTACCATATCTATTCAAGTCACGTATTCAAAATAGGGAAAGATTTTTTTTCTCTTAAATACTTTACTTTGAGCAAAACATTTTGTTTACACCCAATGTGTAAGTATACGTGCGCAAGGATTGACTGTATTTTCCAGGGAATGTATTCTTCCACGACATGTCGTCTCGTTTTATCTCCATGAACGACATTGAAGAGAAAAAGTCAACGAGAACTGAAGCGTCAAGTTATTCGTGTGGGTAGGGTTTATTTTCTGTAGAATTTACACAAATCAGGGTCAATGTCCTGAGGATTAGAGCAAATCGGTTATATGGCCGAGGTGCTCATTGCAGACTTTTAGATCGATCGCTGCCATGCATTGAAATTATTGTTGATCCCAGCAATCCTTGGAATACTAAGTAATCGAAAATAAGCAGAATTTTTATCTAGATTATTGTTTAAGCTTTAGCATTTTTTTAACTAGACATTTCTGATTTCGCAATTTCTTAAGTAATTATTCATCTTACTGATTAATATTTCCAAATAATCTTCAATTATCTTTATGATAATTTATTTCTATGTGAAATATTATTTAAGAATTTTTCAAAATCGTGGTATTACGCTTCTATAGTTATTACATTGATAAAAATTATATATAAATTATGCGTAAAAAAGATTTTATTCGCTAGTTGATCATTTAAATGTAAATTATCTTATAACTTTTTTATTATCTTATATCTTATAATTTATTATTATTAATTTTGTAGATCTATTTATAAAGGAAATATCATCATGTGAAAATGGAATATATAGAAAATAATAAATTCTTTGAAATTCTAAAATATATAATGCATTACTGCATATAAATAGATATATTATTAATTTTATCATATAAAATAGAAATAATAATTATTATAATTATATTGTAATTATATTTATGCAAAGGTAGATATAAATATATAAAGTTTTATTTAGAATCAACTGAATCTAATGATTTATTATCTTTTTAATTATCTAATGATTAGCGGTGGTTAAGCCTAAATTAGTTCGATCGTTTAATATAATGAAATAAATAAATGAAAGAATCGAGAAATGTGAAGGAAAATGAAAAAAACCCTCGAGCAATAATGATAAAATTTTATGATAAAACTTAGTTTATTACCCGCTTACAATTTTCATTGTTCATTCGATTTTTTATCTATTATCAAAAGTTATGTCTTCGCCGGAAAGTGCAGCTTTACTAATTAACCACCAATATTACTCAGATGTTTTTATTATTAAATAAAAATTCTTATTCATATTTCAAAAGATATAACTTAATTACGAGATGATGTATATAAAAATTAAAAAATTTATCCTCTCCTGACAACAATATATTATTGTTATTATAGAATCAAGGATTTTCTTCATTACGATTTTAATATCGAAAATATTATTGTATAATCTTAGTATATGATAGTAAATGAAATTATATATCATAAGATGCATAATGTGAAATGATTAAAAATCCTGTGTACTCGAAAAACAAAATGCATGATATTGATATTGATATTTGATTTTATCAATTTCTATATTATATGCCTACTTATAATAGGATTGTAATTAATGACAGTTGGCGTTTCGTAGTCGTAAATAAAACTGCGCAATGATTTGATGACGTGGAATACTGTATTAGACCTAACAAGTTTATACACTGTAGTCTTAAACTGCACTTGGCAACTACGTTTGGCATTTGTCCATCCGCTTTTTACATTTAATTGTATCAATTATATCATTTATATCTTTGTATTATTTTTGGCACTAACTATCACAGTTATAAAAGGATAGCGGAACACGTCGCTGCCAAAACATTTGGATCATCTTCAATTATTCGACCATTCCTTTTAACGCCGACTTCTGAAAACACGTAACCGAATAAATACTTTCTGCATAAAGT